TCCGAAAACGACGAAAGGGTATGCCAGTTATGCAGGATAAATTAAAAAAAGGTGAAGCGAGTTTTCGCTCCTCTGATATTCTATTGGCTATGAAATGGTGTGACAAGAGGGAAGTGTATATGTTGTCCACTTTTCACAATCAAGCATTTGTCGCGACGAAACGGCATTATTCCACACACAAAATGATAATGAAACCAAAGTGTGTTGTCGATTATAATCGATTAATGGGAAGTGTTGATAAAACGGACATGGTCATTAGCACAATTCAGTCACAGCGAAAACACATGAAATGGTATAAAAAATACTTTTTTCATTTAATAGATATGTGCACACGGAACGCTTACTGCGTATACAAATTTAAAACTGGCAAACATATATCAATGGCAAATTTTCACTTACAATTAATTCAGCAACGTTTAAATCGCTATTTGCAAAAACCGAACAACAATATTTCAAACAAATCAGGACAAACAAATCCACTTCGGCTAACTGGAAGACATTTTCCTTCGCTGCATACAAGTGCAACTACAAAACGGAAAAATTGCAAAAGTGCGTTGTATGTGCAAAAAATGACAGGAGAAGCGAATCGAGATACCAATGCCAAATTTGCGATGTTGGTCTATGCGCAGTGCCATGTTTCGAGCAATATCACACACAATATAATTATTAACTGTAATTATTATCTTACAATTATATTCTCTAATTTCAAAGTTTAATAAAAGTTAGTACGTTTAAATGTTATAAATATTTTAATTTGTTGAGTTTTTTTTCAATAAACACCGTCAAACCAACTTGGGTTGCCGTGAAGTGTAGATGCGGCCACTGTCGATTCTACTCAAGCACCGTGCACATTTTTGGCGCGGCGCCCCGTTTAGCGGGAATACCACGACGGAGAAGTCGCCCGTAGCGAAAGGGTTAATACGACGCTCTCCGCTCAGGCCCTCAGCGCATCTGTGGGACCTTCGCATACGAATTTTACTCGTGTATTCGGCAAAGCGATAAAGCAATTGAGTTTGTCGCAGTCAAGGTAACTTATTGTACACCTCAAATTATTTTATTTACACGTTTATGGTAGGGTAGAATTTTTAATAACCCAACAACAAGTACTACCATAACGGGAATTAATTACAATTTAATACATAAAATTAGGAATCCTTCTTTCTGTTATTTCAAGTGGGAAAAAAATTAATAAAATTGAATTAAAAAAATTAATAATAGAAATACAGACAATATATTTAGAAAATTATAAATGGTATTATATGTCCGTAACACTGCACAAACTTTTAGTCCACGGAATAGACATAATTTCCAATTCTATAATACCGATAGGAAAATTGTCAGAAGAAGCCATAGAAACACGACACAAAGAAATCCGATACATGCGAGAAAATCATACTCGGAAAAATTCAAGAGAAAATAGCAACAAAGACTTATTAAATTTACTCATAGTGAATTCTGACCCAGCAATAGTGAAATTTAAAACAAAACACAGCAAAAGTAAAAAACTTGAAAGTACAGACATAAGGCAATATGTTATAAGTGATTCGTCAGATGCGAGCTCCGAGTGCAGTACAGATACTGGTTCCGAATCCGATTCAGAATTAATTTGAGAAAACCAAAATATAGGTACGTTTTTAATATTCTAACATTCAATTTACTTTTGTTCTAACATTTAAGTTATATATATTTCGATAAATCTAATATAAACATCTTGTAAATGATATTTATCTATAGAAAAGGTATTTATTTATAACAATTTGCTTGTGATTCATGCTCGATTCCTTTGAAAACGATATATTGCAATTGATTATAAATATTGAAATTATTATTACAAATTATTTATTACAAACCATTCTTACAATAAGTACTATAAAAAATAGTATCATTTTGTCATGTAACTTTTCTCCATGCATGAAAGAAAATTGGACATAGAGGATTAATAGAACAACATCGTAAAAATCAACATAAAAAAAGAATTATCAGAAAAGTCCATACTGCAGCAAAGTTACGAATTTTGTCCCAAACGTCCATATACACGAAACACTGTGCGGCGGCTGGCCATCAGGGTCGCGATGGGCTACCGCATGATTTCTTACGAGACGTTGATGGTCCGGGCGGGTGTTTTACAGTGGCGCTTCTAGGCGCAAATCGAAGGGGAGATCTACGATCTTAGGTGCCATCTGCGCGATCGTAGCGCGATCGATGATAATTAGGGGCGGGG